ATGTTATAAAGATGGTGAAGTAACAGAAAAGAATCTAGAAAAAGCTGTTTATTGGTGTCAAAAAGCAGCTGAAAATGGTAATAAAAGTGCACAATATAATCTGTCTCTTATACACATCTCAAAAAAAAATCTCACTTGTTAAAAAAATTTTCTAACGAAATTATCTATCAAATAATTTTCTACAAAAAAAAAAAAAAATTCTCAATATATTCTCTATCAAAAAAAAATATCCCTCCTGTTAAAAAAATTGTTCCAACAAATTAAGAAAAAAAAAATCTTATTAAAAAAAAATTCTCCAATTGAAATTTCTATCAAATAAAAGTTTTTAACGAAATTATCCATCAAAAAAAAACTCAGAAATGTCCCTACCAATGAAAAAATTTTCTAACGAAATTTTTTATCGAAAAAAATCTTTTTATTTAAAAAAATTCCCAAAGAAATTCTATCAAACAAAGCCTTTCCTATATTAAAAATAAAAATTCTCTACAAAATTTATAAAAAAAAAAAAAAATTTTAATACTACCTAAACTTAAAAACATGTGATCGACAGCCTGTGCTGTCAAAGAAACTAATTTTTGACAAAGATAAAATTATTGAGTATAGTTGGATTAAATCAAACACAGTTGGACAAAAACATCAAGCACAGACGTCAAGCATGGTCAAATAAAACCATCAAGCACGTACAAATAAAAATATCAAGCACGTGATAGATAAATATCAAGCACGGACAGATGAATATCAAGCATGAACACTGTAATGCCGTAATATACCTAGTAAATTTATTAATTATGAAGGGTAATGTCGTATTTAAAATTAGTGTATGAATTTTTAGTATTTTAAAATTGTATGACGTTACAAATGTAACGTTACGAGATGACGTTAAACTAGTAAATTTAGGAATTAAGAATTTAGAAAATTCTGATGATCAATTTAAGGAGTAACTACGGATTTGTGTAATTGTTGATACATGAAGAAAGTATACTTGAATTGTTAAGGAATGGGTGCTGCTAAGAGTTAGAAAAATACAAAAAGGAACCAAATTTGACTGATAAAATTTCAAGTTACGAATTTCGTGAATTAATTTGAAGATTAAATTCTAGGATACGAATTTAGAGATTTATTTTAGGATAATATTTAGTATTGTTAAACCAAGCATATATTGTATTTGTTTATATTATTAATAAAGTATTATTTTGTTAAGTCCTAAGGTGGCAAACGTATTGTTATACGGGCTTAGGTCTTACAACAGATAAAATGTCAGGCACAGTGTAACATTTGTCAATCCATGCTTTATTTTTCATCCGCCCAATGCCTGATAGTTTAGTCCAACTCGGCTTGCCATACATATGAAGCTTATACCGTAATATATTAAATCGCCGTAATGTCATAATTATTTAATGCCAAATATACAAAAATTACACAAAGAAAGTAAAATTTTTTTTTGATTATGGGCATAGATAATTTGTAATCCGTAAATCTGATAATCTTGATGTTTTGTTATATATTTTAAATGGTAAAATCCATATTTCGTAATGCCATAATTTCAATTTGGCAATTCCGACCGCACCTATAAGCTAATTTAAAATTTTATTTTCAAATACATATAAATTTATTCACTCAGTGCCATTTGATAAAAATCTCATTGATGATGTTCATTAACGTTAAATATTACATGTACATTTAAAATAATGCAAAAATATACATGTGATGAACATTTTTCTCGTGACTTCCTGATGCATGCCTGTTACACAGATAATCTGGATTTCATGTTTAAGAATAAATGTGACATTCTCACATGATACATCAAACGCCATTACACAAACCTAATTCTAAATGTAAACATATAATTTCCATATATATACGGATTACATAAAGGACTATACATTGTTTTTTATTCTTAATTATTAAAAGAAATCCAAATTCAAATAAATGAAAAAAAATTATTAAATTGACAACTTATTGCCTCAATAATAGTAACTCAGTCTCACTAATATGAGTGATTCAAGTGTTAATATTGATTTGTTAAAAGAAACCTTTTATTGCTATCAAAAAGCAGCAGAAAATGGCGATGAAATTGCACAATTTGCCTTAGCTGCATGTTATGAAAATGGTAAAGGAATAGAAAAGAACCTAGAAAAGGCCTTTTATTGGTATCAAAAGGTAGCAGAAAATGGTAATAATAAAAATGCAATGAACAGTTTAGCTTTATGTTATGAAGATGGTAAAGGAACAGAAAAGAATTTAGAAAAAGCTTTTTATTGGTATCAAAAAGCAGCCAAAAATGGTGATAAAGATGCAATGAACATTTTAGCCATATATTATGCAAATGGTAAAGGAACAGAAAAGAATCTAGAAAAAGCCTTTTATTGGTTTCAAAAAGCTGCAGAAAATGGTAATACAAAGGCTATATACAATTTAGCTGTATATTATTGCAATAGTGAAGAAACAGAAAAGAATTTGAAAAAAGCCTTTTATTGGTTCCAAAAAGCAGCAGAAAATGGTCATATAGATGCACAATATAATTTAGCAATATATTATGAAAAGGGCAAAGGAATAGAAAAGAATCTAGAAAAATCCTTTTATTGGTATCAAAAAGCAGCAGAAAATGGTAATAAAGATGCAATGAACAGTTTAGCTATATGTTATAAAGATGGTGAAGTAACAGAAAAGAATCTAGAAAAAGCTGTTTATTGGTGTCAAAAAGCAGCTGAAAATGGTAATAAAAGTGCACAATATAATTTAGCCATGTGTTTTAAATATGGCAAAGGAACAGAAAAGAATCTAGAAAAAGCATTTCATTGGTATCAAAAAGCAGCAGAAAATGGTAATGAAGTTGCAATGAATAATTTAGCTGTATGCTTTGAAAATGGTGAAGGAATAAAAAAGGATCTAGAAAAAGCCTTTTATTGGTATCAAAAAGCAGCAGAAAATGGTCATAATAGTGCAATGAATAGCCTAGCTGCACATTTTTACATTGGTAAGGGAACAGAAAAGAATTTAGAAAAAGCATTTTATTGGTTTCAAAAAGCAGTAAAAAATGGTAGTAAAAGTGCCCAATTTAATTTAGCTAAATGTTATAAAAATGGTGAAGGAACAGAAAAGAATCTAGAAAAAGCTTATAATTGGTATCAAAAATCAGCAGAAAATGGTGATAAAAATGCAATGAATAAATTAGCTATACATTATAAAAATGGTAAAGGAACAGAAAAAAATCTAGAAAAAGCCTTTTATTGGTGTCAAAAAGCAGTTGAAAATGGTAATGATAATGCAATATTTAATTTGGCTGCATGTTATAAAAATGGTGAAGGAACAGAAAAGAATCTAGAAAAAGCTTTTTATTGGTATCAAAAAGCAGCAGAAAATGGTGATAAAGATGCAATGAACATTTTAGCCATATATTATGCAAATGGTAAAGGAACAGAAAAAAATCTAGAAAAAGCTGTTTATTGGTATCAAAGAGCAGCTGAAAATGGTAATAAAAATGCACAATATAATTTAGCCTTATGTTTTAAAACTGGTAAAGGAACTGAAAAAAATCTAGAAAAAACCTTCTATTGGTATCAAAAGGCAGCAGAAAATGGTTCTAAAGATGCAATGAACGGTTTGGCCAAATGTTATCATAATGGTAAAGGAATAGGAATGAATCAAAAAAAAGCCTTTTATTGGTGTCAAAAAGCAGTTGAAAATGGTAACGATAATGCAATATTTAATTTTGCTGCATGTTATCATAATGGTGAAGGAACAGAAAAGAATCTAGAAAAAGCCTTTTATTGGTTTCAAAAAGCAGCAGATAATGGTGATGAAAATGCAATGGCTAATTTAGCTATGCATTATTATAATGGTGAAGGAATTGAAGAGAATCTAGAAAAAGCTTTTTATTGGTTTCAAAAAGCAGTAAAAAATGGTAATAAAAATGCAATGCATAATTTAGCTATACATTATTACAATGGTGAAGGAACAGAAAAGAATCATGAAAAAGCCTTTTATTGGTTTCAGAAATCAGCAGAAAATGGTGATAAAAATGCAATGAACAGTTTAGCTTTATATTATAAAAATGGTAAAGGAATAGAAAATAATTTAGAAAAGGCCTTTTATTGGTATCAAAAAGCAGCAGAAAATGATCATAAAAGTGCAATGAATAGTTTAGCTACACATTTTTACAATGGTGAAGGAACAGAAAAGAATCTAGAAAAAGCTGTTTATTGGTATCAAAGAGCAGCTGAAAATGGTAATAAAAGTGCACAATGTGATTTAGCCAATTGTTTTAAAACTGGTAAAGGAACAGAAAAAAAATTGGAAAAAGCCTTTTACTGGTATTACAAAGCAGCAGAAAATGATGTTAAAGAAGCAATGTTTAATCTAGCCATACATTATGAACATGGTGAAGGAACAGAAAAGAGTCTAGAAAAAGCCTTTTATTGGTATCAAAAAGCAGCAGAAAATGGTAATAAATATGCAATGAACAGTTTAGCTGGTTGTTATACTAATGGTGAAGGAGTAAAAAAGGATCTAAAGAAGGCCTTTTATTGGGATTATAAAGCAGCAGAAAATGGTGTTAAAGAAGCACAATTTAATTTAGGTTTAAGTTATTACTATGGTACAGTAACAAAAAAGAATCTAAAAGATGCCTTTCATTGGTATCAAAAAGCAGCAGAAAATGGTGTTAAAGAATCACAAATTAATTTAGCTAGATGTTATTATGATGGTAAAGGAACGGAAAAGAATTTAGAAAAAGCCTTTTATTGGTATCAAAAAGTAGCAGAAAATGATAAAATAATTCTTAAAAATTTTTATGGTAATAAATTATGTAAAGAATGTAAACAACCATTTACTGATTACTATTGGTGTCAAAAATGTAATACTAGACAATTTCAACAATATTTTTTAAGTTGGACAAGTAAAAACAAGTTTATTGATGAATTTATTCAAGAAGCACAACTAAATGCTAAAAATAGTTATGAAGTTTTAGAGTGGATATCTTATAATAGATTGAAAAATATTAGTTATTATGATAAAGGTGGATTTAGTGAAATCCATAAAGCTATTTGGCTAGATGGTCCTATTAATAGTTGGAATTTTAATAAACAACAGTGGAATAGGCTACCAAATTATGAAGTTGTTCTTAAATGTTTTAATAATTCATCAAATTTTGATAGATTTTTAAGTGAGGTAAATTTTATTTTATTTTTTCTTTTATTTATTAAAACTAATGATTTTTTTAATCACTTATATAGTGGAAATATCATTATAATTGTCAGAAAAAATCATTTTCAAAATTTATTCAAATTTTTGGGATTACTCAAGACCCAAATAATTTAAATTATATAATAGTAATGAGTTATGCAAAAAAAGGAAGTTTAAGAAAATGTTTATCTGACATAGCTAAAATTAAATGGCAATACAAATTACAATTACTAAAAAATATTATTTTGGGACTTAAGACAATACATGAATCAAATCTTATTCATTGTGACCTTCATGATGGTAATGTTTTAATATCAGATAATTTTGAAACATATATTATTGATCTAGGATTGTGTAAACTCGTAAAAGACTCATTACAAAATGAAATTGACAAAATTTATGGAATTATACCGTATATAGCACCTGAAGCATTAAGAAACCAACCTTATGTTCAAGCAAGTGATATCTATAGCTTCTCAATGATAATGTGGGAATTTACGTCAGGTGTTCCTCCATTTAATAATAAAGTACATGATCATCAACTCATTATAGATATTTGTGAAGGAGAACGTCCTGAAATTATAAAAAGTACTCCAAAATGTTATATAGATTTAATGAAAAAATGTTGGAATTCGGACCCTTTTAAAAGACCAACTATAGGAGATCTTGAAAATATTATATCTAAATGGCTTATATGTGTTAATGAATATTATGAAGTGAATGAAGAAAATAGTGAATATTCTATAACTAGTATTAATATGGACCAAAACAGAAATGTTATAGAAGAATTTGTAAAAGCCAATAAAGCTTTATTGCAAGAACAAACTGAAACTTCTATTATACAATTTCGTCCACAAGCATATTATACAAACCGTTTAACTACCAAAATTTTAGATCAAAACTCTGATTGCTTGGATTGTAGTGGCTTACTTAGTTTTGCTAGTGAAAGTTTTGAAGATTGTATGATTTAAAGACATGTAGTCATTGAGTAAGTATATAATACTGTATGTACAAAAAAGTTAATTTTTTTATATAAAGTAATTTGTTTAATTATTTAGATATCGGAAATAGATAAAAATTATTTTATTAAATTTACGAATTTTAAAACTTTACAACACTATTCTACTATGTTATATGTGATACTATACATTTAACAGAAGTTATTTTTGATTTTTTTTTTTTTCAAGAATTATTTAAACACTAAGACTAGAGTAGTAAAATATTTTACAATTTTCTTAGTTTGTAATTTAAATAATTCTTTTTTTTTTTTATGATTTATCCAATATGTATTCTTTCTTTTTTTTAGGATTATTTAAACACTAAGACTAGAGTAGTAAAAGTTTACAGGTTTCTTAGTTTGTAATTTAAATAATTCTTTTTTTTTTTTTATGACTTATCTAATATTAAATAAATCTGATTTTATTACATTATAATCAATAACTGCTGTATAGTATTTTAAAGATAGAGAGATATAACAGTATGCATCCAACCATTAAATATTTTCTTTCATATTTAAAAATTACTTTATGCCTGTTCGATATTGGTAAGCACTAAAATCGTGAAACTGATCGATCTTTTGTAAAAATCTTACCATATATATAAGATAATCTAAAAAAAAATATACTAAATGAAGATTAACCAATCATAAACTATTTTTTGTATATATTGCATTAAGTTTTAGTTATTCGTCTATTTCTTTTATATCCAATTTATTAAAATTGAGAAAATTCGTGTAATAAAAATATTAATTTTTATAATATTTCTCGTTTCAGTGTTATCACATTTACCTTTGATATTGGCGCAGCAAATTATATGAATAATGGTGCATAATTATAAAGCGATAAAAGCAAATAATAGTGCTTCGATCCGGATGAAATCCGTCATCCGGATTGAATAACAATTTAATCCGGATGAAAACTGTTATTAAACGAAAATCCGGATAAAAAAAATTATTTCAAAAAATCCAGTCCTACCATTAAATGCGCACCGTCAAGCACTATCAAATATGTCTTAAATTGTTAAATTCTGATCATTGGTTTCGGAAATATTTTAAGTTATCCGAAAACTGGCAATCCGGATGGATCTGACGAAATCCGGTTCAAACCGCGGATTACATCCGGATTTTTGATTTAATCCGGATCAATCCGGATCAATCCGTACACGGATCGAAGCACTAGCAAATAATGTGGAAATGATCGTTAGCTTTAAGTCACGTGAGGCAGCGAAATTCACGTGATCGATCATTTTCGTAGCCAAAACCGATTTGAGATTAAGGCTGGTCAACACTATATAATTCCGGCCTACATTATACTTGGCCTAATTATATCACGTGATATTATGCCAACCAATCAAAATCAAAATAATGACAAATGATTGGTTGATTAGAAGTCATTTATGGAAAACTACATCATAATGTTTATTAAATCAACAAAAACCATTTATAATTAATTATCTTAATTTTTATCCTTTAGAAATAAGGCATTTCTTTTCCTAAGTTCACTTTAATTTAATGTACCAAATAATAATTTTAATCACACATATAGAATATTTAGATTTTCCTATTATGTATAATTTTATAAATTTGTAATTACATATATAACTACTTTAAATACTAAATTAATTTAATACATTTGAAAGAGATTTTAGTTTAATTTTTGAATATTTATCTCCTTGTTCAGCAGATTTTTTGTACCAATAAATTGCTTGACTCATATCTTTTTCGATTCCTTTTCCAAATTCATACATCAAAGCAATATTATATTGTGCTACAATATTTCCAGATTTCGCAGCTTTTTGATATGATTCAAATGCTTTTTTCTTATTAACATTAGTTCCAATTCCACAATCATAACAATATCCCAACCTATTTAAACCAGGTAAATAACCTTTCTCTGCTAATTTTTTAGATAATTCATAAACTTTCTTATTATTTTTTTCAACTCCTTTACCATCCATATACATTTTAGAAAGTTTATATTGAGCTATATTACTTCCTAATTCTGCAGATTTTTTATAAAAAATAAATGCTTTACGTTTATTAATATTAGTTTCAATACCATAATAATTAAAATATCCAAGTAAATAAATAGAATTTGAATCATTTGAATTTTCTAAAAGCCAATTATAAATTTCTTGTAAACTTAATTTATGATTATTAATATAATCAAAAATATGTTTTCTTTTAATACTTTCTTCTTTTCCTTCCATTTTAGAATAAATATTAATCAACCCATCAATTACAATACCTAAATCTTCTTCATATATATTTTCATTAATATTTTGAGTCGTAGGTTCTATTTCCTTTATATTCAATTTATTAAAATTTTTAATAAATTTATCATGGAATGAATTATTAATATTTGATTTATTAATATTATTTAAATTATTATTTATAGTTTGCATTTCAATTTTTTAAAAAAAAATATTTGGAATTTGAAAATTTTTAAATAATTTTCCTATAAAAAAAAGGAGTATTGAATCGTTTATTAATATTGATTGTTTAAATAAATACGTATTTATTTGTAATACTGGTAGTACAACCATAAAGCGCTAATCAATTTTTGGATCCTGCAATTTCCGTAAGCAAGTGATGATCCGAAATTATCCGAATAATTAAACTTAGTTCATTATTAGTCGATACGGAATGAAGCGAAGGACATATAAAATATGTGAAAAGTTAATAGTAACTGAATTAACAGGAAAATTCGGCATCTTCAAGCAAATCAATCAAAAACAGCGTGTACAGAAAAGAAATTAAAGATAATTCAAATTCGCACGTGATCGTCATCCAATAAAATCGCAAATTTTAGTCATCTCTTTTTTGCTTCGAAATCATGACGAGTTTTGTTTATAGTATTAACAAATAATGAATTAATTTGATTTATTAATATCCTCTATTACAAACCCGTGATTTATTTATGGCCATTCTTGACATAATATTTAAACATTATTTAATTTGATAAATTAATTATCTGATATTGTTTAATTCAATTCTAAAACTTTTTTTTGTTTAAAAAAAAAAATTATATATTCCATAAATAAATCATCCAAAGGAATGAAAGGATAAAAGGAAGGAGTTTAAATCATTGAAATATAAAAAAGATTTTATGAATAAAGTGATTGTATTGATTAATTAATTATTTATTTATCCTGATATAAAATCTACGTAAATAAATAAACGTGAATTAGGTGAATATAATTTTGTAATATTTTTTAAAAATATTAGTATGAGTACATTATATTTTGAAATCTAGAGAATTAAAGAAATTTTTACTTTGATGATTATAATAAATATCAACCTATTCAAATATCTACAAAAAAGGTTTATAGAGTGAGAAACGTTAGTACTTTGTCGACCTGGGCCCCGACTCGAATTTAAATTGATTGTGATCCACTGATCCACACGATCTAACCCGCTTTCGTCAACGTATGATTTGTGTTAGCGCACATGCAAAATTTTACTATTCCGCATAAAAAATTGAACGAAAAAAAATAAATAAATATTAAATTTGGGTTTGACCTAAGTTATCTAGTTACGTAAGTGAATAAGAATACTCTCATGAATATCGTACGAAGCAATTACTGAGTAACGTACAGTACATGGCCAAATTTTTAACATCGAGCATTTATTACACGTGATATAGATATAAAGACCGTATGCATAATTGAATATACATGTATTCTTTGAATAACAATTAAATATTTATTTCACAAAATGAAATTTAAAAATAATTAATATAATTTAAATTAAAAAAAGTACTTTGTCTAAAAAACATGTATGTGAGAATAATAATTTATAAATTTGCAATTAATCGAATATTTAAAGATATAATTAATACATTCCAATCAAAAGTATTAATCTCTTTTTAGAATAATTATCTCCTTGATCAGCAGATTTTTTATACCAATATTTTGCCAAATATAAATCTTTTCCAATCCCTTTTCCAAATTCATACATCAAAGCAACATTATATTGAGATTTACAATTCCCTAAATTCGCACCCTTTTGATATAATTCAAATGCTTTCTGCGTATCAATATCAGTTCCAATTCCACACTCGTAACAATATCCTAATCTATTCATTCCTGCCAAATATTCTTTTTCTGCTAATTTTTTACATAAATCAAAAACCTTTACATGATTTATTTCGACACCATCTCCATTCAAATACATTTTAGCAAGATTATACTGAGCTACATTATTTTCTAATCCTGCTGCTTTTTGATAAAGTACAAGTGCTTTGTGTTTGCTAATATCAGTTCCAATTCCATGATAACTAAAATATCCAAGTAAATAAATAGAATTTGAATCATTTGGATTATTTAAAAGCCAATGATGAATTTCTCGTAAATTTAACTTATGATTATTAATATAATCAAGAACATATTGCTTACTTATACTGTCTTCTTTTCCTTCATTTACCATCTTGAAATAAAAATTAACCAATTCATCAATCACAATACTTAAATCCTCTTCACATATATTTTTGTTAATATTTTGAGTCGTAGGTTCTACTTCTTTTATATCCATTTTTTTAAAATTTTGAATAAATTGAGATAATTCTTCATGTGATAAATTATATATATCAGATATATTTACTGCGTTATCTGAATCGTTAGTAGCATGCATTTCGATGTTATCAGCAATTGTAGAAATTATGAATAATAATAATAATGAAAAAAAAAAGTAAACCTGGTTTTACAAGTGTAGTAGTACAGTAGTACAGTAAAATTTCATTCATGAATAACATGTCGATCATTATATCATTGTGTATCATAAGGGCAATGACATATATTAGCTAATATTTTAGGGGGTGGGGGAGTAAAAGAATATCTTAGGTTACACATAATATAAACTATGTGAAATGATTGGATTGGTCATAAAATCTTGGGGGAGTAAACGTTACTATTAAAATAATATTAGCTAATATATGTCACTGCCCTAACTTGTAAAAAAGCGGTTACTCCATTTCAAATTATATTACTATTTATGTCAAGATCTTTATCTATATATTTCACATACTTATTTAGTATTATTAATTATTAATTACTCTCCCATAAATAATTTTCATGTGAAATATTTACGATATAATAGAAATCTGGTAGAAATATATATATTAAATAAAATAATAAAGGATACCTATTATAAAATGAATATTAAGTATTACGTTTACGATAGTTTTATTTGCAAGTGAAGGTCAAAGAAGTGAAAGTAATTAATTTAGGTTGAATCATATTAAGAAATTCTAAATTTACTTTATGATACTTCTTCTAGTCATATTTTTATGTGAGATTTTTATAATAAAAAATTGCGGACGTGATGGCCGGAGCCTAGCACTTCATCTTTACACATTTTGAGCTCGTTACAACTAGTAAAAATTATATACATAAGAAATAATTTTTTTGGAAGACAAAGTCATATGGAAGCCTCGTTATAATAAATTTTTAATGACCAGATACTTTATGGATATTGTATGGTGTTGTATTTATATTGGTTAATGCTTCGTGACGTTAATATCTATATTAACAAGATTTAGATACACTTATTTGTGAAATATCATCATTAAAACTCTTAAAAATTGAGATAGATCATGAATATTATGCTAGTCAATTGGTTAAAAACTTTGGGTAATTATTTAAATTTTGTTGAATATTTATTTTTAGATTTTCATATCGATCTATTATCTTTTGAATATTTTACGAAAAATTGTAGAGCAAATTTGAAAAAGTGGATTATTTATATTGAGGGGGAAGAAGATTTAAGGAAAGATTATTTAAAATATGTAAATAATTATCAAAAAGTTCATAATTCTTTAAAGATATTGGGAATTAATAAAGGTTATATGTGTGAATTTAATTGGACGAATGATGAATTAGAAATTATTAATTCATTAAAGGATCAAAGTATTAACATTTTCCCATCTGATGAACTGGATAAATGTTGATAATTTTTTATAGGGTTTTATATTATTATTTATTTGTTATTATTTGATGTGTTATTTTTTTTTAGATTTTTTTCTATATTTTATATAATATCCATAGATTTGAATAAATATCATTATTAATATAACGAAATTATCTGTTATTTGAATTCCAAACCACACTTTAATGTTTGTTTAATACTTTATTAATAAATGTTAAAATTTCTAACCTTTTTTTTAGATGTGATGCATTGTTATTCATGGTAAGTGATTCCGGATTAGGAAATGTGTTCCGTTATTAATTTTGATAATTCTTTGTAAGGATTTAAATTTACGAAAGAGTAATGCAATTGGGCGGTAAACAATATTATAGTTTAATAAATAATATTTGTCTCAAAGTTTCAAATAATTTACTTTTATTTGATGCCACGCCAAATTTCCATTTTCCGCAGATCCTTTGCTATAAAAATTTAATTGAATAAAAAAAGTATCAAACATTTAACATATGAATTATCTAGTTATTAATAAAATATAAAGAATTTAAATATAAATTTATTTGTTTTGTAGAGTATAAAATTATAGATAATAGTAAAATCACGTTGTTGATTGTTTTTTAGTAAATAAATTTTAATAATAAATTCATTGATAATATTTTAATAAATAGTAATAAATAATATAAATAACTTTATTAACAAATAAATACAGTACAAAAATATATCTTAATAGTAAATACAAAATTTTTTAATAAATAAACACGAAGATATTGGAACCGGATCGGATTTAAAAATATGAACTTTTGCGCAGGACTCCAATCTGAAGACCGTTTAAATTAGGAAATTTATATAGATTTGTTAAATTTATATCATAAATAATTCTTTTAATCTCCAAATTTCAAAATTACAAATACAAATAAAATAAATACGATAATCTTTTATACTTTAATTTTAAGTAATCCAAGTTTAATTACTTTCATCTATAATAAAAGATAGTTTTAATTAAAATTTAATAAATCAAAAAAATCACATACGAGAGTAATTTACCTTTAGAATTAATATCAAGTTCAGTAAAATCCATTTTTAAGGAATCTATAAATATTATTTGTTAGAATTGTAAAAATAATTTAAATTATTATGGAAAACTATATATGTTTACCTGAATATTCTATTCCAAGTAAATCATTATTATTATCGGCATTTTTTTGTTCTGGAAGATTATTAAAATCTAAAAGTCTACTTGTATAAACCGCTTGAGGATGTGTTTTATATGATATAGTACCAGTGGATATCAAAGGTGATGAAAAAGATAACTTTTTATTAATATCATCTGCTTCTTTAACTTGCCCATAAATTACAGAATCCATTTTCTTGTAAGCGATATCTTTCCATAAATCAAGAAATAAATTATTTAATTCAACTGCATTAGGTCGTTTTAAAGGGTCTGCATCCCAACATTGATTAATCATGTCAAAAATTAATTGAGGAATTCTATAATTAGACTTTGGTCTCAACCCATTACAAATTTTCATTGCTAAGAAATCATCATGAGCTATATCATAATAAGGAGGGAAACCTGTACAAATTTCATATGCAATGATTCCAAACCCATAAATATCGCTTTTTTGAGTATATTCTTTTCCTCTTAAAACTTCCGGAGCTACATAAGGTAATACTCCATATATTTTTTTATTATTATTTTGAGAGGATTTGATATTTGCCGGTTGACTTAATCCTAAATCAGTAATAAAAGCAAGTTCAACGAAATCGCTTAATATATTTCCACAATGAAAATCATGATGAATTAATCCTTTTATATGAATATCACTAAGACCACGTAAAATAGCAGTTAAACTACACAACTTTTGTTTCCAATTCAGTGAAATGAAGTTGTTATTCAAATGTTGTCTTAAACCACCATTTTTTAATTCCATTACCATCATAAAATTATTTGTTTTTGGATCTTTGGTAATACCAAAACAACGAACTATCCAACGAGAATTATATACTAAAATGTTTGATTCAACCTTAAAAGAAAATTATAGTTAGTTCAACATTTATAAAAGCTAATTTAAATTTAATGAAAATAACTTACTTCTTTTAAGAATTCTGTCGTAATACCTTGTGAGTTATGTAAACACTTTAAAGCAACTTTTGTTTCACCTTTTCTTTCCAATCGTCTATTATAAGGACCATCTTTCCAAACTGCTTTAAAAGTAGTTCCAAATCCCCCTTTTGCTAAATATACAACATCTTCAAATTTATCATATTCAATCCATTCTACAATATGTTCTTCATCTTTAGCTTTTAATTGTGCTTTTTGAATAAATTCATCAACGTCATGATTTCCACTTGTCCAATTTTTGAAATTTTGTTGAAAACGTTTAGAAACACATGGCTGGCACCAGAAAGATCTAGCATTAATCTTCTTACAATTTTTACATACCCCATTTTTTTTATACCGTTCATTTAATTCTTTGTCTGTTATTAGTTTATCAATTAACGATTTTTGTTCTTCAGTCAGGAGATAATGAGTAAAATTTTTTATTTGTTCAAATACATCATCACTTAGTTTAATTTCATCCATTTTAACTAATAATTCATTAAATAAAAAAATATGTTAATTTGTAAAATAAAAAAAAATAGTGGGGAAACTGTTATTTTTATGTTTTGAATGATTTCAAGATCGGCAACAAAATTATATAAAAAAAGATTAATTTCAATTTTGGCAAATTATTTAAATTTTCCATAATAGGTAAGATTAGATAAATAAATAAAATAAAAATAAATAAAATGTTTAACTAAGTATAGTAAGTATTAAAATTGTGGCGAAATTAAAATTAAACTAGGCACGCGATATAATATTTTGATCATCAAAATTTAACTTAGAAACAAAAATTTGTTAAGAATTAAAATATTATTATTATAAACCGATTATATGAGTATGTGTTTTATATAGCATGGTTAGTGATCGTCATCATATATGATAAATTTTAAAATTCAAATATTTATATTTACTAAACTCATAAATAATTATTGTTTACGCTGACTTTAAGGTGTGCGCAAGGAAAATTAAAATTGGTGGATTTCATTGTATATAAACATTTTTTTTAAGTTAGTAGTAAAGAATAAAGCATATGTTGCAAGACCAAAAAACTACTTAAAATTTGTTCAAGTCGAAAATGTTTGAAAGTTCATAATCAATTTATCAATCATGCATGCAAGCCAGAATTATTCTAACAGAAAATTATGACTCCAAAATTTAATTTTACGAAACCTCTAATTATGAATAAAACAACACGTGGTATTTCTATCTATACATAAATTGTTCCAAATTCTAGAAATTTCATATTAAATTTGCCTAGGTACGCCCCTCCACAGGTTTATTTTTCGACACCAGGGTGGCGCTGTCGTAATGGCGGTTTGGTTCACGATTTACGAATAGTTTGTCCTTGTAATTTGTATCGTGACTTCGTTCACGTGGAATCTGAAAATAAAAATAAAATAATTTAACTTTTTCTTGGGATAAGGATGGCCATATAAATGTTAGATTGCTGTGTCTAAAATTTTAAATTTTTAAATACCTCGTACTTAACGTACTTAGCAACTGCGCCAATAAAATCATATTTGAAATAAGAAAGTTTTTTGATTCATAAAATGACAGGAAAATAATAAATGCATGAAAATTTAATTTAAATTAATTAGTTTTTGCCTAGAGATTTAATTTATTATATCCACTTTTACATAACTTGCATAAGATACAATAATACTGAAGTTAAGACGTCGAATAACTGTTTCATCAGTCTTATTTGAATCTCTATTAAATTTAGAAACATTTATTTCGTTATTTATCTCTTTATAAGGAAAAGTGTCGTCCCGCTTGATATCACTTGAGTGACTTGACAATATAAAATAAATTTAGTTTATTTAATGTACAAATGATTACCACAAAACAATTGCGAAACAAGGGTGAAAAGATTTATTTTATTACCTTATAATCCTATTCTGATCAGACAATAATTTGATGCTAATACTATTATGCGAGATTGATATCACAAACCAGTAGTGATTGTGCAACGTTGCATTATTTTCATTTTTTTTAGTTCGATTGTTGATCGTACAATATTAGATTAATTCACTTTTTATAGATAGTAGTACAATCAACACGTGTTATTGTAGGTCCTTTTAAGTAAAATAAAAAAATTTTCTACAAAGCAGAACTACATAATGGATGAGTTGACGAATATATTTATGATAGACTTTATTTTATTTTAAATACATATATAATAATAAGGCTTATATAAGATAATTTTCCCATTGTAACTTATAAAAATATATATAAAATTTCGGTTCTTTTTTTGA